ATTTTCGAAAGAGGATCTTTAGAAAATGAAAGTAGGCTGGATGCAGTTTTTTTTTAAAAAACACATAAACCTCCTTTTTTTTAGGAAGAGCATTTTTGGGTTTTGTTTTTTCTCGAAAAACCTGCATCCAGATTACTTTCATTTTCGAAAGATCCTCTTTCGAAAATGCAATCGGAAGAAGATATGCAAATTTGGTGCACATTTGCATATCCTCTTTCAAAAGAGGAAGCAAGTCTAGACGTGCCCTGGCAGTGGGTGGGAGGGGAAACCGAGGCACAGAGCAATGACTTTTCTCCAAGGTCACACATCAGCGGCCAGAGCCAGGATTAGGAACTCAGTCTCCTGTGCCCTCCCTGCTAGACCACATTGCCTGAGGTGCAGCTAGCTAGCATACCATTGTTTTAAAAAATCAAACATGTAAGTAACCAAAATGTTGTTTTGAAGGGGGTGAAAAAGTGTCCTGCTCCAATGAATGGCTCCTGATGGGATGACTTATTGCTCCCCTTCTTTCTAGGTATTAACAGAGAGCACCCTGATCCCCGTGAGGACATGCCCTTGTGACCATCACACCGAACGCAGGTGCGCAGAGTTTTCTTAGCACAGAGCTGCTCTTAAGGGGGCTACTGCCAGCAGTTCTGCAAACTACCCACTTGTAGTGGCTAGCAACGCAGCTTCCCTACGTGCACTAGCGCCGTGAATGAGAACGCCTGGTGTAAATTCCACCCACATGCAGACAGTGATTCATGCCGGGGGTCACCAGAGCACAAGAAAAATGAAAAATAAATGGACTTCCCCACCACAATTTTTAGCCAGCGAAGCAATTTCCCTGATGGTAGGATTTACACCACTGGCTAGTGAAAGCTGCCTCAGCTCATCTTTCATGTCCTGCCTGCCCAGGAAAGGCTGGCAACGGCCCCTCCTCCCCACCCGTGGTGCTGCGCTGGTAGCGTCTGCTCTCAGCTGATTGCCTGGCGTTCGTGGTGCTGTTTGACTGGGACAGGTTTCCACGGCAAAAGTGGACCTGTGCAAATGTCACAGTGTTGTCACTTGAGCTTGTTTTGCATTGAGTTTCCTTGCTTGAGTTCTTGTGTTTGTTGGGCTGAGGGTTTGTTTGTTTCTTAACTGCATAGGTCAATTAGGCACTAAAAGTCTGAACTCCGGGCCTGGGAAGACAAGGGGAAAGCCTGCTGTGGTTTGTACAGAACAGCTAATGCGTGTTCACCCAGGGAGCGAGCTGTGCTCACACCCCAGGTGGCCACACTGACTGTACTCAGCAGCATAAAGCACGTTCCGTTCGCCCCCTGCCTGCCTGGGCACCATCTCGCCTGTGGACAAGACCTTGCACAGCATAGCCTGGCTGCTTGGGTTTAGTCACCCAGGACCACGGGTGGGAGGTGTCACCAAAAGAGCTTTGCTCCCCTCTCCTACAAATCTTTCCAGCTGCCGCCTGAGCGGGATGGTTTCCAATCACTAACGTAGCTTTTTACAGTGTTTCCCCCATGCACACAAAGGCCATGAGGAGTTCAAGGCCTAAATGCCCACCCTGGGGTGTCTACATTAGCCACCTAAATCCCTGAGAGAACCACATCTGTCAGTCTGCTACTAACTGCTGGGTGACCAGGGGCAAGTTATGTCTCTCCCTGCCCCTCTGTTTCCCCTCCTGCCCTGGTCTGACTGGTTTCAACTGTCAACTCTTCAGGGCGGGCACTGGCTGTTCCAGCAGGTACAAACAGGCCCCATCACAGCTCCACAACCACAGCCTCCTTGAGCAGGGATGGTCATTTCCTATGTGTTTGTACAGCACCTAGCACACCGGGGCCCTGTTTGGCTGAGGCCTATGTGCACCACTGCAATATAAATGCTAACCCCAAAGCTGCATTGCCAGACAGTAACTGACCGACACCTGCTTGTTAGCGATCCCAGCCATGCACCTTACAAAAAGCAAGCCAGAGGGCGTGGAGCTAGATGGGAAAGACGGGGTCTCCTGCAAATGGTGACAGCTGGGGATTATGATCAGAACAGCAGCGTGCAGAGCAGTAATGGGGGGAAGGGGTAGATACTAGGGAGGCTCCAGCTTCCATGGGACACCTGCTTCCCCTGACTTCTGCTTTCTGAAGTGAGCACTGCGTGGAAATAAAGGGAAAGTTCCGTTCAAGGGTGAGCCCTTCACGGGTGACGTGCTGAATTGTGGCTTCGCTGAAAGACACTGCAGGCCGAGCCCAGAGGAATTCTCCTCATGGACAGTTAACGCCGCGTGTCAGCAGGGACATCACTGAGCCTCTCAGCGGATCTCACTCGGGCACCGGTTAAAGCCACTCGCGCTGCCAGGCCCACGGTTCCTGAGCCTCAGGGTGCACGGTGCGAGCAGAACCTCGGAAGCAGGGGGCGTGTGGCAGTCACGACAAGTTGATGGCTGGTGGATTGATCACCGCAGTGTGGATCCCCGGCATAGTGGAGACAAGCCCTGAATAGGACACCCAGGTTGGGCCTCCCTAGGCCAGGCTTATCTCATTGGTTAGCATAACTCTGAGCAGTCCTACCAACACCCTTAGGCTGTGTCTACACTGGCATGAATTTCCGGAAATGCTTAAAACGGAATACTATTCCGTTTTCAGTTTTTCCGGAAAAGGAGCATCTACATTGGCAGGCTGCTTTTCCGGAAAAGCCCTTTTTCCGGAAAAGCGTCTGCGGCCAATGTAGACGCGCTTTTCCGGAAAAGAGCCCCGATCACCATTTTCGCGATCGGGGCTTTTTTCCGGAAAAGACTACACTGCCGTTGTGATTACACACAGCAACGCTTGCCTGACATCACAGCAATCTGGTTTTAACAGGCAAATTAGTAACAGGCATGTGACACCAGCACATCAGCTTGGAGCTCTTGCTCCAGGGCCCCTTCCCTTCCCCAACACAGCCGTGTGAGCCAAGCACCAGCACTCCGCCTCTGGACAGCCCAGCTCTCAGAGCAGCTGTGAAACTCCAGGCCAGGAGAGACTGACCCCTGAGATGTCGCAGCCACGCTCGAGGGCCGTGTGCTGCATGCTGGCACACGGAGCCAGCCCCAGAGGGAACTAGACCCCAACCTAAGGAGCTGGCAATCTACGGTAAAAGAAAGGAAGCACAGTTGAGAAATTGCCAAAAAAACCCATATTTAAAAAGTCGGAAGAGAACCGCGAGGGTTTGACATGATCAGAATGAAACGCGTCAGCAGACACAGACCGAATCGATCGTGGCACTTCGGGTGCTCCACGATTACAACGTTTTCTTCCCACTCAGGATGGGAAAATAATTTGTAAACTCTGGCAAGAGAGGAAACCGGGTTCCTACCCAGCTGGAATAGCCAGACCCCCGGAGAAAGGGGGAACCAGAGCCCGGCTGAGGAAGTGCTGGTATGGCTGGGACAGAGCTAGGGACTGAGCCCTGATACCGAGGGTCACTGCCTTTTCCAGCAGGTCCTCAGCTGTCGTTCTATGCCAGAGGCTGTGGAGCACACAGCCAGCAGCAACCATCTGCGTCTCAGTTCAGTATCACTCCACCTCCGCAGGCCTCTGGCCTGCCCCTCCTGTCTTCCAGAGGCTCTTCACCTTCCGCTGCTTTTATCAGCATCCTCAGAACTGAGGCATGGCACCACCGGGCAAGCCAGCAAAGGC